TACTTATTGCAACTGTTTCTGAAGTTGTAACAGCAAAACGATTTTATTTTGTAGCTTTCCAACTTACAGTGTGTATGACCTTGGGGATGTCACTCACCACCAGATATATTTACTTGTGTGAAAATGAGTATAACATTCTGTTATTTATTTTAAAACTTAAAATATGATTACATCATTTCCCCTTCCCTGTCCTCCCTCCAACCTCTTCCATGTACCCCTCCTACTTTCTCTCAAAATACTAGTCTCTTTTTTGTTATTGTCAAGATACTTCTGTATATATACACACATACACACACTCTATCTCACACGCACGCACACACACATACATACACACTCACACTCTCTCACACATGCACACGTACACATACACACTCACACACACAAGCTGCCCGGTCCATTTAGTGGTACTTGATGTATATGTTTTCAGGACTGACCATTTGATATTGGATAACTAATTACGAGACTCATCCTTGAAGAGGGTTATTTCTCCTGCTCCCAGCATTCTTAGTTGCCTGTAGTTCATTGCCTGTGGTCAGGGTCCAGCGAGGGTTCTCACGCTTGTGGTAGTCTGTCTGTGTGGTAGTCTGTCTGTGTGGTAGTCTGTCTGTGTGGTAGTCTGTCTGTGTGGTAGTCTGTCTGTGTGGTAGTCTGTCTGTGTGGTAGTCTGTCTATGTGGTAGTCTGTCTATGTGGTAGTCTGTCTATCAGTGTTGCACTTCTTCTGCTCTCGTTTAAGTAGTCGCATTACTGAGGGATTGTGGGCAAATTTCCCTGTCATTTCTAGGAGACAATCCCATAGTAGATTGCCCGGTCATTTGACTCTCACAATTTTTCCTCCCCTTCTTCTGCCCAGTTCTTCGAATCTTAGATACAGGAGTCATATTGTGATGTATCAATTACGGGGCACCCCATAACCACTCTTCTCTGTATTCTGACTGGTTGTGGTTTTCTGTAACGGTCTCCTTCTGTTGCAAAGAGAAGTCTTTTTGATGAGGGGTGAGAGTTGCACTTTCTGTGAATGTAAGGATAGATATTTAGAACAAAGTTATGGATTATGCTGGCTTAGTTAAGTGGCAGTATAGAGCTCTCTAAGACCCATAGCCTCATTGGCCTGGGGTAGTTAGCTAGGTTCCAGTACCAGGCATGATTTCCCTCCTGTTGGGTGGGTCTTAAGTCCGATAAGAGAGCTGATGGTTGCTACAAGATATGAGCACTGCTATTGTCCCCTTAGGGTCATCATGCTGTGCTGGTTGCAGTGGTTCATAGGCACTGAAGCTGGGTAGCATCTCTGGTTGCTGTCTTTCCTTGAAAGCTTGCCCACTCCAGTTCTAGGACAACTAATCTTCAAGGAAGATCCAGCTCAGATCTTCCAGATCTTGTACCAGAAATGCATGCCGTCTTCACAATGGGAATTTACTTTCAACCTCTGAGAGGCAACTGAGTGGTAGCCTATATTGTTTTGGGAGTCTCTTGGATAGCCCTAAGCAACAACTCAAAAGGTGGCGACCTGTGTCTGATATAGGGGGTTTTGTTAGATACTCTATGACTCTTGGGGTAGGTATTGTTAGCCCAAGTGGGACAGCCTGATTTGATATATATAGCACATACATCATAACTGCTTTTTAACTAAAAAAAAAAAAAGGTTTCTTTTCCTAAAGACAAGGGCATTTAGTTAGTAGCACTTTCTTGACAATCAAGTAGGTCTCAATGATTTATCTTTGCCCCATTCCCTAAGTCCTCCAGTTGGGAAGTAGGTGGATAAGGATAAGGTTCAGATCATGAAATCTCAGGGTACTTGGAGAGTCGCACACGAGCTGTAGAGCTCCTCCAGGAGTTGGAGAGGCCAGGGTGCAGTGGGTGACTCTGGCCTAAGAACCAGAGTCTGCGGAACACACAAGCAAGGAACATGTCAAACAGAAGGTGACAAAGAGGCAGAGTGTGGTGCCTCCGACGGGAAGGCAACTCTTCATGCCGCTTCAAGGATCCTAGACCAGGTATGATGTCCTCCCTCTCTATCCTTTTCCCAGATGCAGAATGAATTCTCAGGCTGGAAAGGACCCAAGGGAAGTGGTCAGGCCCAGAACTGTACATTGAGCTCAGCAGCTTTCCCATTTCAGTGAGGATGGAAAATCATAAAACATGATCTCAAAAGGCCTTCCACCTCTCCCAGGACACAGGGAAAGATTTATGTCAGCCTCAGTAACAAACAAAGTCAAAATTCAATCTAGAATTCTCTATTCTGGGCTCTAGTTAGTGTACATGCTTGTTAATAAACACTTGGAATAATTTCCTTCTGGGAAAATAATGAAGCTCTTGATGTTTGGATAAGTAGATTTTTCAAATCAAAGTTCAGCTCTCAAAGTGCCTAGTGAAGAACACTTTGGGCCAGCGATGGTGCACACCTTTAATCCCAGCACTTGGGAGGCAGAGCCAGACAAAATTTTGGGGTTTCAAGGCTAGCCTATAGTCTACAAAACAAGTCCCAGGAGAGCTAGGACTGTTACACAGAGAAACCCTGTCTCAAAGCAACAAAAAAAGAACATTTTTGGTATCTGAGGGTGAAACATCAAGGTTACAACATTGTAGGTTTGCTCAATTTAACCTTAATTTTTACTACTCCTTCATATCCAAATGCTCTAAAATAACTGTTTTCTGTTGGGAATACATGCAGCTGAAACTAATAGTTATGGAAGTGAAGGGGTTGACAGAGCTTCCCCTCTCAAAACAATGGAATGGAATTGTTGAACAACAAATCAACAAACTCAATCAAATGAGTGAACAAAAGCCATGTCAACCCAGGTGAAATTTTTCTGGCTCTCCTGTGCCTCCATGCTTGCTGGCGAGTGTGCTTACACTGTCAGTGGAGAGATGACCTTCACTTGGTTTAGAGTGGAAGTATGGAAACCCACAGCCAGCAGCAAGTGGCTTGACGTTGCTGTCCTGGTTGAGATGCACGATACGGGACTGGGTAGAAGTTTCACAGGAGTAGCCTGGAATGGAGGATGTGTGGTGGGCTTGGTCAACAGCATTCCATGTGCGTGGCTGTTCATGAACACACACAGTGAGGACCCAGGAGGGTGTGGAGCTAAAGCAAGAGCGCCAGAATTGAAAATGTCCCCAATTTTACTATGTTCCCTAATTCAAGCAAAGATCCACCAGCAACAGACTGTAGGTTCTGACCAGTCACAGAGTGACCATTGAGCTACACAGACAGAGGTGACTCATGAGAAACCAGTCCCATACTCCCATGTGGTGGTTTGAATAAGAAAGGTCCCCACAGACTCATATATTTGAATGATTAGTCACTGGGGAGTGGAACTCTTTGAAAGGATTAGAAGGATTAGGAAGTGTGGCCTTGATGGAGGAAATGTGTGTGTGTGTGTGTGTGTGTGTGTTCTTTGAGGTTTTAAAAGCTCATGTCTAGCCCAGGTTTTCTCTGCCTCTTTTGGCCTGCAGATTGCAGCTCTCAGTTCTGGGCCATGCTCCCTGCTATGAAGATAACTAACTAACCCTCTAAAATTGTAAGCAAGCTGCCAATTAGTTCTTTCTTTTATAAGAGATGCCATGGTCATAGTGTCGCATCACTGCAATAGAAACCCTAACTAAGACATCCCACCAAAACCAAGTATAAGTGACATTGTTTCAAAATTAAGCAGAAATATCAAGAGATACATCCTGCAGGCCAATAGATCAAGTCACAGCATATATTTTTATGAACCAGAGAGATAGCTTAGCAGTTGAGAGCACTTGTTCTTCTAGAAGATGCCAGCACCCATGTAGTGGCTCACAGCTGTTTGTCTATAACTCCTGTCCCAGGGTATCTGATGCTCTCTTCTGGCTCTTACCAAGCACACACATACACACATGGTAAGCATACATATATACAGGCAAATATTCACACACATAAAATAAAATAAAAATAACGTGAAAAACCACACACACACACACACACACACACACACAGCAGCAGCAGTAATAAGTAAGATTTTCAGAGGAGAAAAAGAAAACAGAATCCAAACTTAATTTTACATATTTCTGAAGAGATCCACACTTTAACAAAAACTGTGAATTACATAAGAAGTGAGCCTTTCTGGGTAACGTCCATGGAAACTGTCTTTGTCTAGATGTTGGATTCAGCAAACACTTGAAAGCTGCTATTTGAAATATGTTGAAAAAAATAAAAGAAAACCATGTTTAAAGAATTTAAGGAAATATTATGAAAATGACTCAAGAAGCAGAAATATCAATAAAGAAATAAGATTTTTGAAAAACCACATGGAAAAGTCTGGAGTTGAAAAATTTCACAGCAAAGAGAAACACTGATTGCATGGGGCCAGGAGTATTCTTGAAGTATCAGAATTTTAGTGAGTTTTCAGGCAGATAAACTGTTATCCTATCTGAGAAACCAAGAGGAAAGAAAGAAAGGCAAGAGAAGGCTGGGAGTTTGTGGGGCACATAGACCCCGCCAGCTGCAAATGAGCTCAAGATGAGAAAAAGGGAGGAAAAATGCCAAGACATATGGGCTGAGCACTCCCTAATTTGAATGAGTGCATTAATTTGAGGTTCAGGAACACAAATCTGGGCTCTCTTTTTGACCCCAGTGGCCACGGGTGCACTGGAAAGGAGACTAGTCGCTGAGTATGTATCAGCTTGGCCACTTAGAAAACTGTTTTTTGTTTAAGAAATTTGCTTGGGGGAAGTATGTAACCTGAAAAGGTTTCCTTTTCTGTTTAAAATGGTATCAGACCATTCTGTCACAGTGTTATTTAAAAGGGTTGCGCTCTAGTCAGCAATGACGGAAGACAACGGAGGAAGCATGGCATCTCAAAGTGCCTAAAGAGTGTCATTCAAATAACGCTACAGGCAGCAGAACTAACACTCAAACACACTCTCAGATAAATAAAGAATGAAATATTACATTGCTAATAGTCCTGACTTAACCATCCCCCCCAAAAATGCTAAGAAGTCTTTCAGTGTGATAGCTTGCTGTCACTATTACAGCACCTGAGGCGATCAACTCACAAGGAGATAAGGGGCTGCGATGAGGCAACACATGACCATTGGCTATCACTGGAGCAGAGGTTGTTACGGTAAGTTGATCTTGTAGCCATGGCAACAAGAATGCACAGCGATGCAGTGATAGCAAGGTCTATGCTGATGCTGATGGGGTATTTTCACTGCTTTGGAAGGCGGGGACTGCTAGACCCTATCTTGAGAGTCCAGCCATGCACCTCTTCCTGTCCCTTGGCTGCACCTGGTCTTGGGGAGCTCTGAAGTAGGGGGGAAGTGAAAGGTTAACTGAAACAGGGTCCTATTGATGCAAGGTGACTCAGTGGATGGAGTGCTTGCTATGCAAAAATGAGGTCGAGTTCTGAACCCCCGATATGTACATAAAATCTGGGAGTGGCAGTGCAAATCCAGTGTGTAACACTGGGTTGTTGGAGAAAGGTTAACCTGAAATGGCGATCTTCAGGGCCCATGAGAGACCCCCGCCTCAAAAAACTAAGGTGATAGGAGAGGATGCCTGACGTCAGCCTCTGGCCTCCACACATGCATACAGGCATGCGTGAACAAATGCTCAAGCACACACATGTGCACATATCACATCCATGTGCATGCGTGCACACACCAAGACATACAAAAGAGACCAAAAAAGTACCAGACTTGTACGCTAAAAAGTATAAAACATCTTGAGAAAAGTTAAAGATCTGTGTAAGCAGAGAAACATTTTGCCTATGTAAAAAGCACTACTATTGGAATGGTAGTTAGCTGGCAGAGGTAGCAGCATACACTTGCTCAGGAGCCTGAATCCTCAAGATGTGAACTTGAGGCAAGCATGGACCACATGGAGAGACCCTGTCTCAAAGCAAAATGCAGCTCTCAGTAAAATGTCCTATACATTTAGCAGAGTCCTAATCAAAATCCTAACAGGGTTTCCTGTTTCTGTTGGCAATCCAATCCCAAATGCATATGAAATGTAAAGGACCTGGACTAATAGTTAAAGTGCTTTTTAAAAAGGAAAACGAGTCGGGCGGTGGTGGTGCATGCCTTTAATCCCAGCACTCGGGTGGCAGAAGCAGGAAGATTGCTGTGAGTTCGAGACCAGCCTGGTCTACAAGAGCTAGTTCCAGGACAGCCACCTCCAATGCCACAGAGAGAAATCCTGTCTTAAAACAAACAAACAAACAAACAAACAAGAATTTGGAAGGCTCATTGTAGGTGCTCAAGCAGTACAGTTGGATGTGGTGGTGAACACTTGTAATTACAGCGCTTGGGAGGCAAAGTGGGTCATTTTAGGTGACAGCCAGCCTGTTCTAAATAGTGAGTTCTAAGCTTGTCATATGTAGAGCTATGTAGCAAAATGTTTTCCTTAAAATTCCTTCCCTCAATAACACAGAACAAAAGAAACTCCAAAGCTGTAGTGATTGAGACAGTGGGGGCTATGAACACGAAGCACAGACGTACAGCTCAACGGGACGTATAGATCACGCATACGGGTCAATTGAGAGTCCAAAAGTTGGAATGGCAAGACGGTTTAGAGCGTGACAGCAAGTTGCGTTCAACCCTTGGGCTTGCATGGTTGAGGGATACAGCTGACTCCCATAACTCGTTCTCTGACCTCACAGCCTCTCACACACAGTTAATTGAGGGCAGGGTTTAAACGGGTTCACCAGGCCCAAGATAAATGATAAATAGATGTTTTATTGGGGAACAGCTTACACAGATAAGAGGAAATAACCACCGCGACCTTCCTGCTCCAGAAGAAGCAGTCTCTGCCTTTCCCATGCTTCTGCCACCCAAGACAGCGAGAGCCCACAGCTCTTCTACCTTAAAGTGTGGCCACCACTGCAAGTTCACTGCCAAGGCAAGATGCCACTACAGTTAATTTTGTTAACTGAGAAAGAAATTTGCCTCTATGTTTATCATCGACTAATTTTTTTTTAACAAAGGCAGTGAGGTAGTTCATTTGATAAAGATTAGCCTTCCACAAATCTTCCTGGGACAATTGAATATCCTCAAGTTGGAAAATTCAATTAGACATGAAAATTGACCCTAAATGTACCAAGGACTGAAAATTATGAAACATTTAGGAGAAAACGCTACAGAAATTTATTGCAGTTTGGGACTGGGTATAGAATTGTTCAATAGCATTTGAAAAGCACAGTACAGTATGAGCATAAATAAATAGATAAGACCACCAAAATTTAAAGTTTTTCAGTCAATCAGTTCAAGGAAAAGAAATGGAGATGCAGCTTAGTTAGCTAGTAGAGAGTTTGTAGCATGAAGAAGACCCTGAGTTTAATCCCTGGTACCACATAGATCAAGCATGGTGGTTCAGGCCTGTGAGTAAAACCCTGGGGAGGTAGAGGCTGGAAGATCAGAATTCCAGGGTCACTCTCATCGTGAGACTGCCTAGAAACAAAACAAACAAGCAGAAAACATGTGAAGGCAAACTACAAACCATGAGAGACGTTTACAAATTTATGCCATAAGGGATTTGTACCCAGAATACATAAAGATCTGGAGAGATGCCTCAGTAAATAAGAGCAGTTACCGCTCTTGCAGGGGACTTGGGTTTGGTTCCCAGCACCTACATACAGGATGGCTCACAACCGCCTGTAATCCCAGCTACAGGGGATCGGACACCTTCCGGCCTGCACAGACACTGAATCCACGTGGTGCACGTATATGCACCAAGGCACACACTCATACACATAAAAGAAAATAAATCTTTTTTTTAAAGACCTCTTACAATTTGTCAGTTTGTGAGTCAATCTACTCAACCTGAGAATAAGCCAAAGATTTTCACAGGGCTTTCACTACCAGTGGCATTCAAATGACGAGAAAAGTGTGTGGTGACATGCTTCTGACCAGTGTGAATGGGCAGAATATATAGGGGATGGCTCTCCAGGCAGCAGGAGTTGGGGCAGGGTTGTCCTGCTGTCCTAGAATCTGTGATGCCTAAATCCAGTCTGTGAATGGTCAATATGGTAAGAGCAGCTCTAGTCTGGAACGCGTTTATTGCTGGTAGCCATGACGATGTTCTGTCTCAAGACTCTGCCTTTTTCAGAGCGTGCTGTCGCCATGTCACTGGAACCTCATTGACACAGAGGATCAACGTGTTCCCAAGACCGGTCTTTCCTGGCCACCGGATTGCCTCCTAACATCCCTCTCCTAGCCTAACCACATCAGGAGTGGCAGCGGCCCTGCCCTTAGCCTTCCGCTCCTGGTAAATTGCGCTGTTCCTGGTTGGTACTGAATAGTTCCACTCTTCTGGTTTAGCTCTTTGAAATAAAGGGCTGTGTCCCTTCACCTGTCATGTCTTATAAAGGAAAGAACAGGGAGAGAAGTGAAAACATTTTCCATGGCATTTCCGAGCAGTCCCTAGCTGGGACTCATAAAAGCGGGAGCCAAGCATGGGAAGGAAGTGTGGTTTTCTGAGCTTTGCTGAATAGAGGGAATTTCTCTTGTGGGGCAACTTGCTTGGAACTAGAGAGAGGTGCAGCTGAGACACATGATTCTCATTACCACCTCCAGCCTTTCCGACAGGACACAGAAATAACTGGACACACTCTGTTTTAATTGTGATCCTTCAGCTTTAAAGAAATGACCAGTGGGAACCTGCAAGCCGCTACAGAGCTCCATTTTACATTCCCTGGTTTCAGCCTGGTGTGGATTTCCTTCAGCAGGGACATGGTCACAGCCACAATTGCTGCTTGTTGTTACAGCCCTAAGATTTTCACCCAAACCCACATGAACCCATTTATCTCTGTGTGTTTCTCTGCATATACTCTCCTCGCTTGGTACCTTTATCCTTTTAGGGTACATAGGGACAGTTATATTTCCTCAACCCCTCCTGGAACAGAGAAACAGGGGCAGGAGCCTCATGGCGAATGACCGTAGAGAGTGGAGCACACTCAGTGCCTGGAACGGCTTCCCAACCTGTCTGGAGTTCTACCCTCAGGAATAGTCATGGATGTTGGAAAGTGCTTCATGTCAGGACACAGGCTCGGGTGAAACCCAACAGCACAGGTGACAGTGAGACCCCACAGCTGAACTTCAGCAGAGCCCGATCCCTCCCTCCCTTCCTTCCTGTCAGTGGCAACAGAGATGAAGACACACAGAGTTCCACGTGTCAGGTACAGCAGCCTGGGGCATTCGTTCCTTTGGTCTTATAGGGACCTTGACTCAGGTAAGACCGTATCCTTGGTTTCAGCATATGAAAGAATTTCAGAGTGAGCTAGTGTAGAGAGAAGCCTTTTCCTTGCTAGCCACTTTAGTTTTTCTTTATCCAGTCGCCTGGGCTCTGCCGAGTTGTAGTCCCCAAATAACACACAAGACGCTGTATTAATTATGAAGCTGTTGGCCTTGATTGTTTTACACTGCCTATCTCTGACTTAAGTATTTATCCCATAATTGTTAATCTAAGTATTTCTCTTCTCTTAGAAGAGTTCAGGACATTTACTTCTCTGGTGGGCTACATCGTGACTCTCTGTGTTTCTCCTACCCAGAGTCCTCCTGGACTCCTAGTCCCACCTATCTTGCTTCCCCATTGGCCAACAGTGCTTTATTGACATATACGCAGACCTTCCCTCATCATCGGTGACTGTCCAGGCAGTAAGATGTCTCTGTCAATCCTAGTGTACATATTATCCTTCTGTGGTCTTTGATGGAGTTGAAGACAGATAGTTATAATTATAGTTTTCCTTAGTTATGATAAAAGATAAGCTATATATAGAACTTTGGACTCACAAGGATGGGATGGATGATATTTTCTTTAAATCTTGCTGAATGTTGATAGACAAAATATTGTAACTGTGCTTTTGATAACTGTTCTGTTATATATAATTTGACTATGTTAAAATTAAGACCTTTCTTTTTGTTTAGACAGAAAAGAGGAGATGATGAAGGAAGTTTTGCGTATATGTCAATAAAGCACTGTTGGGCCAATAGGAATCTAGATAGGTGGGACTAGGAGTCCAGGAGGATTCTGGAAAGGAGAAACACAGGGAGTCAAGATGTAACCGCCATAGGGATAAGAAGCCCAGAAACTTTTCTCCAGTAAGAGAAATACTTAGATTAACAATTATGGGGTAAATACTTAAGTCAGAGCTAGCCAGTAAGAAACAAGCAAGGCCAACAGCTTCATAATTAATTCAGCGTCTTGTGTGTTATTTGGGGACTACAACGCAGCAGAGCCCAGGCGACTGGCAGGGAGGAAAAACCAAAGCAGCAGACAAGAAAAAGGCATCTCTCTACAAGCCAGTATGACTTAGAGATGGATTTCACTACAGGAAACAGAGAAGTGGCGTGGGGACCCCAGCACCCATGAAGTTCCGGTCTCTGGACTCCCTGAAGACAGCCTACACAGAGCAAGAGCTGAGCCGGCTTTCTTCGGGAGCCAAGAGGATAAACAGAACGTGCGCGATTGGTGCTGTAGCCACGATTCCCATTACAAAACAAAATCAGATGAGAGAGGACAGCGCCCCAGTGCTTTGCTGGCTGAGTTACTCCACAGTCACATGCCATCTTCCCGCTCCCCCTAGTTCCACATTTCTTAAAGAAGTCATCTTGGTACACGCTCTAGTTTCGCTTCTGTTGCTCCGACAGACGCCGATGAAAAGCAACGCAGAGGAGGAAATGGCTTGTTTGTGTCACAATTCCAGGTTACAGTCCGTCCTTTCGAGGAGCTCAGGCAGGAACTCGGGCAGCTCTTAGTGCCACATATGCATTTGAAGGACAGAGAGAAACAAATGTTTTCACGCTGTCTCCTGGCTTCTGTTAGCCCGCTCGCTTCACTCTTACCGTTCAGAGCCCAGCACATGGGACGGTGACCCCACTTTTAGGGTGGTTTTCCTACATCAATTAACAATCAAGACAACCCCGGCAGACTCCTTGTGGGGCAGCGTCCTCTAGGATGTCCCTCATTCAGACTCTCTTCTGGGTGACTCTAGGTTGTGGCAAGTTGATATTTAAAACTAGCCAGTACAGTATGGAACCAGAGCACGGTTTAGTTGGTTCCTTTATGTAAATAAAAGTGTGAAGCACACACACACACACACACACACACCTACACATCAAGACACAAACAGCAAAGCATTCCTGGGTCGTAAAACAAAATACAGAGATTTAAGTTGATTTTCTTTTTTTGTTGTTGTTGTTGTTGCATTTATTTGGTGTGTGTGTGTGTGTGTGTGTGTGTGTGTGTGTGTGTGTGTGTGTAGGTCAGAACAGGGTTGTAGGAGACAGTTCTCTCTTTCTATCATGCTGGTACTAGGAATCAAATTCAGAACCTCAAGGCTTGGCAGCAAATGCCTTTACCCACCAGTCCTGAATACCAAGACTGTGTCACATTAATAACACAGCTCTTATATATTATAGAAAACGTATGGTGAGGAATATCAGAAGGGTAGTGCCTGGAAATGATTTCCAGATTAGCCATGAAATCAAGAAGTTCCAGTAAATGTAGAAACAACGGCTCGTGCAGATGATGATGAGTGTGTGTCACTTAGGGCTACAAATTGCTGTCTTTGAACAAGGCAAGCTTGGCCACAAACCCTGGCCTACAAAAAAGGCATTTCAATCTCAGGAATGATTCGTGAGATCCACATGTGATCCATCCAGCAAGTGTGTCTGATGTTGCTCTGTCAGTTGCTTGTCCTTCTTTCAGACATCTCCTAATAAACCTGAACACATGAGTTTGGCAGTCCCCAGTGCTGTCGGAGAGGGGATGCTGGTCTTCTTAGTCATTGTGACCGTGTCTCTGGCCCTATGGGCATTCCTTGCAACAGCCCTCCAGCAGTGAGAACCAGCCATGCATGGATGGGCCAAAGGCTTGCCATCACTGGTTGATAGTTGATAATTTGCCACCATTCAGGTCCCATGGAGTGTGAATCTCTTTAGAAAGGGACCCAGATGCTCCCCTCTCCAACTGGATCCCGAATGTACAGCCTGGCTGAGCGTGGAACAAAGATATCTCAATTCTCCTGGCACCTTTCTCATAAAACTTTACATTTCCTTTCTTCATGGTGGGTGTGATGGTTAGTTTTATTTGTTTATTTGTTTTTTGAGACAGGATCTCTCTATGTAGTCTTGACTATTCTGGATCTCTTTTTAGACAAGACTATCTTCTAACTTAGAGATCCTCCTGCCTCTGCCTTCTGAGTGCTGGGATTAAGGGTGTGTGCAGCCACACTTGACTTAATGTTAGTCAGTTTTGATAGTCAAGGAAGAATTGTCTGGATTGTGTTGGCCTGTGAGCTTACCTGTGAAGGACTGTCATAATTATGTTAATTGATATAGCAAAGCCCAGGCCACTGTGGGCGACACCATGCCCTGGGTTCTGAATTACAGGGTAGAGGAAGCCAGCTGAGCAGCATGCCACAATCATTTATTTCTCTCTGCTCTTGACTGGATGTGATGGGACCAGTTGTTTTAAGTTACTGACGCTGTGTCTCCCCTGCCATGATGGACTATCACCTGGAATTGTGAGCTACAATAAATTCTTTCTTCCCTAGGTTGCTTTTTGTCAAAGTATTTTTATCACAGCCATAGAAATGAAGCCAAAACACAAGGACCCTTGCAGTGTCTACAGAGTTCAAATCTTTTCTCTCCTGTTTCTCATATCCTGTTGTTACTTAGTTTCTCCAGCTTCTATCCTAACCATATGACTAAAGCCTATTGATAAGCAGCTTGTGAAGGGCTGTAGCAGACATGTCCTAAAGACAGTAGACAACCCAGTCTCTGGAGTGTGAGACCTCCTCCTCCTCCTCCTCCTCCTCCTCCTCCTCCTCCTCCTCCTCCTCCTCCTCCTCCTCATGGTAAAACAGGATGGAAACCATGTAAGAAGGAAAATCCTTATTCTATCTCACAGTTTAAGGAACTGCGGTCTATGTTGACAGGAAAGACCTTGGTGGCAGGGAAGGCATGGTGGCAGGCAGCGTCATGACAATCAAGAGTATGAAGGAACTGGTCATGCTGGGACACAAGGAGGACGCGGTGAGAAGCAGAGTCAACTGTAACCCTCAAGGCTTTCACCCAAGTGACCTGCTCTCCTCAGTCATGCTTCATGCTACAACGTTTCCACAGCCTTCCTGAACAAAGCCATCAGCTAGGGACCAAGTGTTTGCAGACATGAGCCCGGGGCCGAGGAAGGAAAAGAATAGAAAGCTGGCAGATAAGGGCTGGTGAGACACGGGTGCTGGCCAATAACTCATGACCTGAGTTTCATCCCCAGGACTCACTCAGTGCAAGGAGAAAACCAGCTCCCACAAGTTGTCCTCGGACCCACGGGCAAACCCCGCCCCACCCCCACACACAGAGTAAACAAATAAGTGTAATTTTATTTTATTTATTTTGGGGTGGTGGGATTTGGAGACAGGGTTTCTCTGTAGTTTTGGAGCCTGTCTTAGAACTTGCTCTGTAGACCAGGCTGGCCTTGAACTCACAGAGATTCGCCTGCCTCTGCCTCCTGAGTGCTGGGAATAACGATGTGTGCCACCGCCGCCTGGCAATAAGTGTAATTTAAAAAAGAAAGGAAAATAAGAGGTTAGTTCAGGAAACCTAACATTCAAATATTTAGAGCTTCAGAAAGAAAAAAGAGGGGATAATAAAAAAATGAAGAAGCAGAAGGAGAGGAAGGAATGAAGGGAGGGAGAGGGAGGGAGGGAGGGAGGGAGGGGGGAGGGAGGGAGGGAGGGGGGAGGGAGGGAGGTCAGCAGCAATCAGCAGGACAGCAGTTGGCCACTGATGTCTGTGTAAATGAAATCTGAAAGGAGAGGCAAGAGATGAAGAAACTTGACCAAAATTTTCCATGTGTTTTGAAAATGATAAAGATCTAAGAAACTCACTGAACCCTAGACATTAGGTGAATAAAGAAAACCAAACCAAGGGAAACCATTCTACTAATGAAAGTATCTTTTAAAAAAAGCTCTTTAAAATTTTTCATGCAATATATTTTGATCATATTCTTCTTCCTCCCCCAACTCTTCCGAGATATTCAACTCCCTATTTACCCAACTTCATAATCTCTTTCTCTATATAAAAAAATAAAAAAACAAGCAAAACCCCAGTAAGATGAAAAAAGAAAACAATGAAAGCAAAACAAAAAGTACACAGTCACACACACACACACACTCACACACACGCTCACACACACACTCACATGCTCACACACACACACTCACACATACACACAACATGCAGTCCATTTTTGTTGGCCAACTAGTCCTGTCCCTGGGATTTGCCCTAGAGTATGGTTGATAAACCCAGTGACACTCCACTGAAAAAAACTGATCGTCCTTTCTCAGGAGGCCAGTGATAAACAACTTCTTGGTTAGGCGTGTGACTTTGTGTCAACTTCCCCTTCTTGTGCTGGGATTTTGCTTGTTTGAATTTATGCGGATTCTGTGTGTGCTGTCACAGTCTCTGTGAATTCACATGTGCATCAGAACTGCTGTGTCTGGAAGACACAATTTCCTTAGAGTCATCCACCACCTCTGCCTTTGCAATCTTTCTGCCCCTTCTCCCATTAGGAGAACCTTCAGGAAAGGGTTTGATGAAGATGTATTGTTAATTTCTCTAAAGTTTCTCACTCTCTGGACATTGCCCAGCTGTGGATCTCTGTGTTAATTGCCATCTATTACAAGAAGACACTTCTCTGATGAGGGCTGAGCAATAACAGTTTGTCATTAGGAATCATATTATTGCTTTGTTCCTTTAGCAAATTAATAGCAGTAGGTTTTCCTCTAGGTCCATGACTTGTCTCATGGTTCTTGGCCAGATTAGCAGTGTTAGGCATGGGTTTCGTGTTGTGGGGTGGACCTGAAATCTAAACAGAAGATGATGGTTGGTTCCTCCCACAATATTTGGGCCACTATTGCACCAATCTGTCTTGCAAGCCATTTGCTGCTGAAGGGTGAAGGGTTTGTAGGTTGGAGATGTTGGTAACTTCCTTTCTCTGCTGTGTGCAGAGAACCTTCCAGCATCATGAAAGCTAGTTAGTAAGAGTGAAGCTTCTAGTTGGGCATCAGCTTGGTTTTTGCACATTTTTTGATGACCTAAGAACATGATATCTTTAGCACTAGGGCATCACGATTAGGTTGTGGAGAGTAGTCAATAGCCTGTACTGTTTCTGAGGGGTTTATGGGAAGTTTGTGCCAAAAGACTCAACAAGATGTGACCCATTCCTGGCTCTGAAAGTTGCTTGGTGGCATAAGATGTCCAGTTGGTGCACTGCCCCCCCTTATATGGTGACTCCATTTAACTTTCTTATATGTTCATATTTTAGAAAGTTCCTACAGTAGTATGTTTCCGTGTGGATTTCTCTCTTTCTTCCTTTTTTCCTTTCTTTATTTTCTATTTGTTGTCTGTTCTCAAGACAGGAACTCACTCTGTAGATGAGACTGGCCTTGAGTTCACAGAGACCTCCCTACCTCTTCCTACCAAATGCTGGGCTTAAAGGCATACAACGCCATGCCTGGTTTCCACGTGGATTCTAAAAGGCCTTTGGAATTGGTTGCTCTCCCCATATTTCTCTCTTTTACTCTTCTTTCCCATCCCACTTCCATATTTAATCTTCATATTCTAGTTTCCCCATAGTTTCTCCATAACACCATATTCTATTTCCTCTTGCTTGGAATATTCGCCACCAAACACACACACCATTGGTTTTTTACTAATTACCTAGTATCATTGGTTATCCTAATTGAATCACAGATACCTACAGCTTTAAAAATAGTATGTGGAATATTTGCCTTTTGGGGTCTGCGTTACCTCACTCAGTGTGACTGTTTCTAGCTCAATCCATTTATATGCGAATTTCATTTTTAACAGTTGCATAATATTCCATAGAGTAAATGTACCATAGTCTTGATATCCACTCATCAGGTGATGAACATCTAGGCAGATGAATTTCTGGCTACTATGAATAGAGAAGCAATGGACATGGATGAGCATGTATCTCGGTAGTGACGTGAAAAGTCCTTTGTGCATATGCCCAAGCGTGGTAGAGCTGAATTTCCTGGTAGATTGTTTTTCAACTTTTTGAGTAACTTCTACACTAATTTGCACAGTATCTGTACCAGTCTGCACTCCCACCAGCAGTGAATAAGTGTTCCCTTCCCCTGAATCCTCCCTGG